TATTGAATTCTGAGATGTGTTGTGCTTTGAGCTGTGTTTATTTAGCAACATCCAGAGGTAAAATCGTTGCTGTCCTGCTGTTGCCTTTGTTGGTTCCATCTGTGGATTGAGCAACAATGCTTGGATGGTGCGTCACGGCACAGTTTTTGTTCCAGCAAAATTATTTTGAGGAAGTTCTCTGGTCAAGCCAAACTGTTACCAACATGATTAAATTAAACAGCCCGTGAAGTCATGGTAATAATAAGCAATTGTCTCTATGAATGCACGCAATTCACATTGCAATGGATGTTATGGGTCTCACTTAAATAAAAAGACTTGTTTGTTACATTAAAACATGTGTACACATCAGACCAGACATAGAAGAAAATATTTGCACTCCTCAACTCTTGATTATCGTGTCATTTGTCTATTAATATGTTTTCAGGACACCTCTGCAAAACACTGTACCCTTTTTGAAAGAAAGGAAAATTACATTTAAAAAAAGAAAAGGGGAAAAAAAGGAGACGACAAGATCATTTTATATTAAAGAATATTTGATGAAGTGTTTTTTAGTGACTCAACACCTTCCTTTTATCACTGTTGAATATTTTTCCATGATGTCGCTTGAGGCTTTGTTCACTGCACTTCATGTCTCCTGATCTGTGCTGTATAAGTGCATGACCGGTGCAAAAAAACAAACAATAAAAAAAACCAACAATCTACTACACCTGAGATCGTATACTGTACTCCTTGTACAGACAGAGCGCCACTGCCACCTGCTGTCGTGGATGTGCAATTTTCCTTTATTCCAGAATGGACAATTAAAGTATGTTGCCTGGGGTCATACATTATAGTACACTGAAATTAGCGGGCTTTTCTAGAACAGCAAGACCATAGCATCCATAATGATGTACACATGATGGTATGGTACACATGATGTACCATAAATTGCCAGACATGTGTTTTTTTTAAAACATTTTATGAATTATATTTTAGATATCATCAAAGTTTGCTTGAACAACAAGCAACAACTCTCAATCGTCCTGAGGGCCGGCTCGGGAATCAGTCCGCAATCGTATCTTATCATGAGATGTTTCAATCTCTGCTAAATGAGGATGTGAACTTCCAAATCCGCTGAACCGCTAAACTTTAAAATACTGAAAAAAAAAAAAAAAAAAAAAAACTGAAAAGATTGGCTGGCAACCAGTTCAGGGTATCCCTCGCCTACTGATCGAAGACAGCTGCGATCGGCTCGAGCACATCTGCGACCCTCGTGCGGCTAAGCGGATCAGAAAATGGGTGTATGGAAAAATTGACAAATAAAATCAGCAAATAGGCGGGTGCCCAACCACGAGTATGCATTAGTCAACTGTATGATTTACTTTTAGCAAATTTTAAGCGGACCTCAGAGTTTGGAAACGTGGCACTTTAAAAAGCATTGTGTGACAATAATTGTTACGTTTGCAAGGTTTCATGCGACAAGTGACAGTCAATATCCCAGACCTGCATATCTCAAGATTTCTGTTGCTATGGGATCCAATGTCCGTATCGCCATCATTTGCCACCACCATGTGTGTGCTTAATCACAAGTTCTTCATCGATCTTTTGATAACAGCAATCAGCAGAGAACATTCACGGAGCAAGTGAAAGCTGGTGTGCATTATAGATGTTTTCTCTTCCTCTGACATAAACCACTGCATCCAAAAAGAATCATTTATTGATAACATCCAAAAGGACATTTTAACCAGTACAGATTGTGTATAATTCTGGTCTGACAGAAACAAAACATCAAAACAAAACAAAATTAAACATAATGCATGCATTTCATTGACAAAACACACAAGTCATCATTGCTACTGTACTTGTGACGGTGTCCAAAACACTTTCTCAAAACCTAAACATAAAACAGGTTTACAAATACAACAAGGTGTGATCTCACTTTGGAGAAGAACATCATGATCAACAATATGTTGGCTGTTTATGCTTGTTTGTATTTTGCCAACTCCCGAAATAAGGGCCTGCAGCTACCCATCCCAAATTCAATTGCTATGTGTATTGTTTCCAAAACATAGCAAGATAAAATATGAATTAAGCAGTCATTTTGGGATGGATGGATGTATTATGTTTATTTATTTATTATTATTTTTTTTTTATACATACCATACAATTAGGGGGAAAAAATAGCATGTTGCCAATGGTTCGTTCGTGGTTACTTGCCAATGCTTTTAAAGTGATTCCTGATTTGATATCACACACTGTATATGGGGCATATTTCTAAATTAGAATGGTTCCGTTAAATTGCCCGGAAGCAGAACTGAACACATAAAAAACTGTAACCAGCCACTCTAGATACACTGTTTGAACATAACAAATAGGAAAGCTTGCAAAGCAAAAGGATCACTTTTCTGAAAAACACACCACATCAATAGTTCTCTACGATGCCTCTATTTTCTTTATTTTGACCAAACACTGTGAAAAATGATATTAAACATGCAGTTCGAAAAAAACAAACAAACCATAAAAAAATGAACAAAAACAAGGTTATATTCTATTTGTTTGCCTTGACATCTTCTTGAAGCAAATACATGAATGACTATATTCTTAGAGGAGAGACGATGCATATGAGAAAGCCCAAGTCAAAAAAACTATCATGTCATTAAGAATCGTTGACATTTCTGCCGAACAAAGCTTGACTTTAAACGCCTTACTGCAAAGACAATGTATGATAGCTCGTCAGTCACAATTAAGTTTAAACTCACACAAAAGTAATTTGGTTTCAAATTATTAATACCATTAGTAACAGCTAAAATAATTATATACGGCAGCAGTTCAGCTGGAATGTAATTGAGTATTTTTTTAAATTTTTTTTTAAGAAAGATGTAAGGAGAAACCTTAATGGTCATTTTTGTAGGTCCATTCTTCGTTGCTCTACCAACCTGAGCCTTAGTGTGCACGTGTGTTTGTGTGTGTGTGTGTGTGTGTGCGTGTGTGTGTGTGTGTGTGTGTGTGCGTGTGTGTGTGTGTGTGTGTGTGTGTGTGTGTGTGTGTGTGTGTGTGTGTGTGAATGTGTGTGTGCATGCATGTGCATGTGTGTGTTTGTGTGTGCGTGCATGAGGGTATGTGTTCAGGGTGACGGCGGTGCCTTCAGAGAATTTGTGGATCCTCCTTGACTTCCACTTCCCGCTGCTCCTTGTCCAACCCACTGATTCACCACAGACAAAGAAGACAAGAAGGATCCAGTTAGTAGTTGAAAATGCACATGGGAAAATATTGCAATGCTGTAATTGGAAATCCGATTCATGTAGAGTTCAGATTTTCTTTAATTAGCATACACTGGAGCCATATGGTTATATGAGGCCCTACACTGCAACTCTACTGATGTTAATAAAACACCTGGGGTGTTGTTTTTAACACTGAGCAGTGTCTATATGCATCAGGGGCGTGCTGGCCATCCGTAATTACGGGAAAATGTGGTAAGTTCCCAAAACAGCCTATATTTCCAGGTCAGCCAAACCACGTGATGGCCACCCAACCCCCAATCGCCGATTAACTTTCGTACTGTGACGTCTGCCGTCGCCAATGTGCGGGACTAAACTTAGTCGCGCACAACCGCCATTCGCTCCATCTGCACCCGCCACCATCGCCAAATGTTTAAATGCGTAAAGTCCACAGAACGCTGCCTCCAACTTCCCTCTGTCCACAAATATTTTTCAGTGCGTGACAGCGGGCCGTCGAAGTATATTCCTGGGCCAAGTTGTGGTCCCAGTGGATCCTTACATACACATTACTCGGTGCTAAAGTAACATTTACTAAAGTTTTCAAACTTCAACAACCAATAGTGTGTTAATGCAACTAAATGTAGTGTTGGCGGTGCAGTAATAATGACACTATTGAGCATTTCGATTGAAACTAATGAGTGGTCATGCCCACACTGTACAATGTGCGGAAAAAAAAAATACCCCATACCTCCTAAACTTAAATAAAACACATTACACGATTTCAATTCAAAACAATTTTCTTTTATTAAATCCGTTTCGTACAGCTCATACAAAACAGCGTTTTGGCACAATGTATGTTCTTTCATCAGTTTCATATGAAAACTGGCCATCATGCCTATAAATCAGGTCAAGGCAAAGCAAGAACAGTGAACAACTAGTCGTAAATTCTAAATGCATTCAGGCAATCATCAAAACTCAAAGTAAAAATATTTGTGGTCAAAAGAAATGCCTTATTGTCATTGAGGTGTTCACAATTTTCCTGAAAGTAGGGAATGGATTTTCATCACCCACACATACAAGCATTTCATTTTGACATTCGGTTCCGCAGTTTTTCACCCAAGAGGCAGCAGCGACACTTTTAACGCATATTGTGTTTGACAAGCATTGTTGCAGGCAAGATATTCCATTTCAGGAGAAACAAAGTAATATAATGTTTTATTTTTATATTATTACTACAGTTACTGAGTCCTGCGTTAAAAATCGGGCACCACAAGACAAAATGAAACACCAAAAATTAAGGAGAAATCGGTCCATTAACCTTTTTTGAGTCACGGACCAGTTGAGACAAGTACATGCTGTTCGCGGACCGGCGACTATCTTGTTCATCGCAATTGGCAGTTTTAAAGTATGGCGACTCACAATAAAGCTTATTATTGAATAATTAAACATTTTATTTACATAGATTGTTTTCATTCACTTCAAATAATGTAATTCTCTGTACAACAAATGTGGAATAAAATAAACATAGTGAATTAATTGGACCAATCAGGAATAATAAATACGCCTTATAATGTGAACCTAATCATTTTAAAGTTATGATCCTACATACGGCATTGGCATATGCAGGATCATAACCCCCTCTTTTTCAAGACTCGAGTTTTGCAAATGATGACAAGGTTGATTGCTGCTTTCATCGGATGGCTGGTTATTAGCGACTAAACTTCTAATGTTTACGTGGGCAGGTTGTGCACACACTGCTTGCATTTTTATGCTTTCCGCTTGATCACTTGGGTGCTACTTGTTCAAATGATTCAACGGGTTTCTTGTATTGCCTTGTTTTTGACGGCATTGCCACACACAACAGCTTCCTCCTCTACGTCGCTCTGGAGATACCGCGAGGGGAGGAACTCCTCGTCAAAATAGCTTCATCTTCGGAAGTCATGGCTGCCCATCAGCTGGCCGTTTAGCTGTACGTTTGGTCATTTTATCATATTACTTCACCCGTTGACTGCTTCTTTCATTTCTTGGCGGATTCTCAACCAATTAATCCCTAATTTAAAAAAAGAAAATGACCTTAAACATACACAACTTATAACTCTACACAGATAGTAATATTGTAAAGAAACGTATTACCGGTACTTACAAATGCAAATAGCTACGAATATGAAATGTATTACATTGTGGAAGTAAGTTGCCCATCACTGTAGACAAGACCGTTGCACTCGGTATGGATAGTTGCATCTCTCTGTGCGTGAACGCTGCCTTCGTGTTGACACTTGGACAACTGGCTGGTTTGCCAAACGTTTCATGGTGGACATGCATTCATCACCCGGTGGCTGTTCAAATGGTGAGTGGTCTTGCAGAGTCTTTGGGACACCTTCAAAATGACATGGCAGCAAAACAGACTGAAGAATACGGACAGAAAACATTTAAGATGGATAATGCGGACAATAATTTTTCATACAAACACTTCAATGCAATCAAATTCCTTCCCGGACAATTTGCAATTTATGTCATCTTATTTCCATGTTACATTTTAAAGAATAGGCGTAATGTTTGTCAAAAAGCTGACAAATGACGCTCATTAGACTGAATGGAGTCAGCTGGGCTCCTCACCAGTCCAAAAACAATCAAAATTAACGTGCGGCTCATCGCTGTGGCTGCCGACACTTGCTTGAACCAAAAATATCGTGTTAATGAGGCCATGTGACCAGGTTTGTTCACGAAATACATCTATTGGCCAATCTGTTTTAAACAATATCAAAAACAAAACTCAAGTGGAAACTAAGTTATGAGGCTTTTTTTTTCAACAAATATCATGTGACAACTTTGCCTACCTTAGGGAAGTTTGACTGCGTCTTGCAAGTGAGGAGGAAAATGATGCTGAAAAAAAATTGTCTCGACTCCAACAAGGGAACTTCGATTTTATATTAAGTACGTTGTTTCAATTTCCCCCACCCGCCATTTTAACAATGTATCAGTGTTACATCCTAGACTACACCGCAGTGATGGGTCCAGTAACACCGATGCGTCGATGCATGCGTCGAGCTCACAGAGCAATCCACGTGTCGGTGCGTGTGCTGCTTCGTGACGATCACGTGACCAATACATGAACTGCGTCGACTCAGTCCAGGCTGCGTCGACTCAGCAAAAGCCCGCCAGGAAGTGCGTCTAGCGACACGATGCCGCCTGCCGAAACAAGCCAGACCTCACCCTCGTTCGAAAAGTATATATTTGGGCAAAAAGGAAAACATTCAGAAAAACATGTCCGTCTGACTTCGAGCGTCGTGTCGGCTAGGCTAGCTTAGCTGCTGTCGTAGTTCAAAGCTTCTTTGATATGTGCCGTGGGTTACGTGCTCGTGCTCGCGCTCACGCGCGCACAGCAGAGAGCAGCAGACTATCGACTGTTGAGGCGCGCTTCACTCGAGTGACGTTGCTACAGTACGTGCATATTATGGAGCAGCTTCCAGAGAAACGCAAATTGTCCGCCATGTAGAGCCATTTTGATATCCTTTTGGAGAATAAGTTAATTAGTGCCTCTCGGATTTTTGACATGTCTTATTCCATTCTAATTCAAATTAATTTCAAGGTAACTCTTAGCTTACTTTTCACATATTTTATTGCAGGTGAAATGTCGAATTTGCCATACAGAAATATCATATACCAACAAAAGCACCTCTGCAACTACAGCTGGCATGTTACTCATCATTATTACCGTATTGGCACGAATATAAGACGGCCCTGATTATAATACGACCCCCTCTGTTTCAAGACTCAAGTTTGAAAAAAGACTTTTTGAATACCAAATTAATTTTTATACAAAAAATAATTACAGTACATCTGAAACCAGTGATTATAACAATATATTTGAGACAAAAGGCATGTTATTTTGCCTCATTCAAATCTAAAGTGCAATCACATTCGTAAATGAATGGCTTCTGGTTTTCGAAATGTAAATTACATCATAACTTCTCCTCAGCTGCCGGTTAACCTGGCCGATCTTCGACCCACTTTTCTCCAGATTGTCACTACGTTTCTCCATTTTCTGTTATCTCTTGTATTATTTTCTTCTCTTTCCCTTCTTACCGCTATTTTTTATTTTTCTTCTTCATGCTACTGCTATTTATTTTTCTTCTTTGTGCTACCGCTATTTTTATTTTTATTATTCGTGACACGGGTTCACTTTGGCCTGGGGAGTTAAGTTCAGCATTCACTTTAAATGATATCTGGCGCCATCTAGCGTCGTGAATGGGTATAATGTCTAGACCCTGAATATAAGATGATCCCCACTTTTTCTGTCTTGTCTCAATGCAAAAAACACCGTCTTATATTCGGGCCAATAAGGTAGTTTGTTTTTCGCAAACTGTTCTAAATGCCAAATTTGTTAGGTTTGTTTTTTTTAGATGACCTGTGGCAACATTTGGATGATGAGGTAGGGAGACAGCGAAGAAGTGCAACAGCAGATGCTATACCTGAGGTCCAGCGATACCTGGCAGAGGGGAAAATTGCACGCAGTCAAGACCCGCTATTATAATCGAAGTACCAACACACTACTTTTCTAAACCTCTCCAACCTCGCAATGCAGTTTCTCTGTACGCCGGCATCACCAGTGCCATGCGAGCGTGTGTTCTCCACAGCAAGGGAAATAGCATGCAAGAAACGTAACAGACTGAAATTCAAAACATTGGAGCAACTTATTTTTCTGAATAAAGATTTGTGAAGACAAAGCCCACAAGCATTCTCATTTACATAATTTTCACATTATTCAAACATATTGAATAATACAATATGAATGCATAGATGTGAATGATACTGGATACACGTCATCATCAAATCAGTCAGTTCAGTCTGTCAAGTGGGTTGCCTGCAGGGATTTTGAAAGTCCAGCAGGAGTCAGTGGTCAGCGACACAGCATCAACACAGTGTGTCGTTGTGTCAACACGCTTCATGAGGCCTCATGGACCCATCACTAGTACACCGGCTATTTTATTACTTAAGTGGTGTTAATGCAACACTAACATTCTGTTTTTAACACTGTCCCTGAACTTTTAACACCGGTGTATTTGCAATGTATAAAAGGTGAGGTATCCATGGACAAAGGCTCAAATATGCCTTTGAAATCATTCGGAGCACAGGTCTCAAATGAGCGGTCCTTGAGGGCCGCAATCATGCGTGCTTTTAAATGCTTCCCCCTCTGCAACACACCTGATTCAAAAGATCAGGAATGATTTGGAGGATGCGCTCGTCCTTTTTATTCAGCCACACATTCATTCGGTAAATAGAAGTAAACAAGCTTCCGATCTCTTTACTGCCTATGCTTTTTGCTGAATAACATAAACACTGGTTTGAAAATGAGTTTGGCCTTTCGTCATTATCAATTTTGTGTGTGTCTATTTAGAACCATGACTGAACAGACTATTATTATCATTTTTATTGTCAGCCTCAGTCCATTAAGTCAGCACAAGTGTAATTAGAAGCCAGTGGTGTGAAGGGAGCTTTTGCAAGGGCAGATGCTCAAAAGATAAAATGGGGCCACATAGCATAAAACTTTGAAACACCTTAGAGAAATGTACTGCCATAACTTGCACTATGCACTTTGTAAATACAGTAGTTGAAATGACATGTGCATGTGCGTGTTGCATCTCTGTGTGCTGCTGGCTTCTTACACAGCATACGAGATGACACTTACGGAGCCCTAGACATGATATCTCTATTTTTAACTTTTTTTTTTGCCATAATTTTTAAATTAATTGTCACAAAAATGTTCATTTGTGTCCAAAAAATATTAATTTGTGATCTTGAATTAGGTATAACTACATGCACAAAACACAGCTTTGTGTCCACCAAATAGCTGTGGCTCCAAACTGGACAATTGGATTCCCTAGAAACGGTAAGGTGGACGTTAAATCAATAAATAAATAGTGGAGAGGACTGGTTCCCCAAGATAGCGACAACAGCCGCTGGGCATGTGGCATCAAGTATAGCCATGTTGTTACTAGGGCTGGCCATCATTTCAATTTGAGCTATTACATTTTCCGATTCTGGTTCCTTGTTTTGATTCCTGTTCTAAACCATTCGCAATTCTCATTCTTTTAGGGAGCAAGGTAGGTGCAAAAAACAAAAAGTTTGCATGGATAAAATCAGGGGTGTCCAAAATCCAAGTGATAGCCATTCATTTTTATAGAGCATAGACTAAAATAATATTTGACTTCTATCTGTCTTTTTTGTTTCGGTTAACAAGAGTCCACATTCGGGTTCGACGGAAGCATTTACAAAGTAGGTGGGATGTAAGGCTTTGGGGCAAATGAAGCATGTTACTCAATACTTGCACTAATATAACAATGAAAATGCCAGCTTGCACAGTGTGCCCTTAGGAGTTGTGTGTAGATCCTTTCAAGAAACACAAATAAGCCATTAGCTCGCATCTTAGTCCAATGCTAAAGCTTCGAGAGAACACTGCTAGTGGAGCGAGTGTGGTGTTTCGCTACAGAAAAGCCCTAGAGACAACATTGGAGCTCGTCTTACTTCATCACCACTGGCAGTCAGGGTCATTGACCTCCAACCAACACTGCAATTCTTTTGCTAAACGCAATGTGACAGCTAACGCTTCATTTACTTCTCAAGTGTGTGTTTATTGGGCACTGAAAGGATACTGATGGGATTATGTAACTCCTAAAAAATGTATTTGCAATAAATTCAGAAAATATAATGTTTACAAGAGTGATTTGTTTGTCTCAGGCTCTCCAAAAGTCTCTGATAACACGAAAAAAGTCATGATGTCATTTATTGGATACAGAGAGTCACTAAATTGGCACCATGAGGAAAAAGCATTGGCTCTTTGTATGAGACAAGAGTATCCTTTCGAAAGAGGCTAATTTCAGCAAGGCTAAAAATGTGCTACACATGGCAATTCCAACTAAATTAGGCTTTTTTTGTAAAATGTTCATAAAATCAGAATACAAATTTGCAAATCCTTTTTAACCTACATTCAGTTGAATGCACTACAAAGACAAGAGTTTTAATGTTCGGATAGATAAACATTATTGGTATTTTTTTTGGGGGGGGACTATTCATTAACTTTGAATTTGATGTATAGGGATTATTTACATTAAAACACGAGGTTGTAAACTTTGTTCAAATAAACTTCAGCACCCCAAAGTCAGCGTTAATCATATTTAACAACCCGCTTTATAAGCAAAATCATGGCTCACGAAGCAAGTTAATGCACTTCCTGTGAATACCAACGGAGCTTCTTAGAGCGACACAGACGGACAACCATTTGACTGATGACTGATGGAAACGCACACCATGAGTCTTGCATTTGTTTGTTTACAGAGGTGAATATACACCGAGGTTGCTTCGAGTGGACTACAATGACTATATATGGAAACGCCTTGACAGAAATGCTCAGTTTTGACCTCTAGTTTATGACATGGCCTGCCATATCCCTTTTCAGTTCCTGTACGGTAGGTGGAGGTATGCACCAAAGAGCTGTAATTCACCCAAAAACTAGGAGAAGAAGAGTAAGGAGAAGGAGAAGGAGAAAGAGAACATCTGTGTTCGGTCTTCCCGCACCATTATAGATCATGCATAGATTTGGCAGAGAGGGAGTGTGATGTACTGACGATGACTGATCGGTGAAATGTGCTGATGGTCCTAAAACAGGTGACAAATTTGGGATGATGGCAGCGCGGTGAAAATAACAATGATGGAGTGACTGCCGATGACAATTTTGGTTGACTTGGCCACTGGTGAATGACAAATAACGGACCGGCGAAATTTACTCACACGTCCATCTATCGATATTTAATATGATATACTGCATGGTAACGCAAAGACTAAATATTGGAGATTGCCGCTGTCCTTTGAAAAACACATATGTCCATTTTTGTGATTTTCAAACACTTTCACGTTAATGGGATGTCAAAAACGCGAACACCCTATTTGTGTATAAATTTTAAAAATATATATATATTGACATACATGTTTTTCACAGGACAGTGACCGCTCTTGAACAGTGAAGACATTATATTCCTGCCATAGGGCTCTGTAGGTCACCTGAACCGGAAGGAAGCGCTTCGATTTGTGTTGCTTTATAAGCGGAAGTTGGTTGTGCTTAACCACTATTATTGTGGAAATAGTCAATGGCCAATCACCTCATGGTGAGCAAAAATGTTCATGTCAAGCCCTGGTGACGACCTATGGTCGACCTAAATTCCCTGTAATCTAATAATGTGCATTACATCCAGTTACATCCATCCACCCATTTTCTTAAACACTTATTCCATCCATCCATCCATTTTCTGATTTGCTTACAAGGCGGGTGCTGGAGCCTATCACAGCAGTCTTCGGGCATTAGGCGGGGGACTCCTGGAACTGGTTGCCAGCCAATTGCAGGGCAGACAGAGACAAACAACCATCCGCGCTCACACTCACACTGAGGGACAATTTAGAGTGTTCCATCAACCTGCCACGCATGTTTTTGGAATGTGGGAGGAAACCGGAGTGACAGGAGAAACCCACGCAGGGACAACAGGAACATGCAAACTCCACGCAGGGCTGGAATCGAACCCTGCACCTCTGCGCTGTAAAGCAGTTGTTCACTGTGCCGCCTAACACTTATTCATTTCTCAAAAAGTCTTCAAAATTTAAGTATTTTTATCTTTTATAGACTTTTTGTTGAACCCAGTCGACGCCGCTTTGAGAATTTCAACATAAATTTACATGAATCAGACCGGCATCTGTTTTTGCATGCTCTGTTTTTTTAATGAGCGTGGGCTGGGAATTCTGAACTATAAACAGCTCTGCGAATGAAGCCGCCGCTCTAAGTAGTTACAGGACACTGTCTTTGTTGTGGAAATCACAGAAAAACAAGGTCACTGGATATGAAAGCTGCACATGATTCTTGTTATACAGTATAATTGCTGTTTCGCCATTTTAAACCTAAAAGCGCTAACACCTTATGCTGTGCATCTGACTTGCATTAAATGAGGTTTAGTGTGTTGTGTATATTTATCATCTTAATCCTGAAATTATTCCTTCCAAAAATCGAATGCCTCATACAAACAGCAGGAAAACACTTGCAGAACACTATCCTGTCCAAAATATGACACTGTGTATGTCTGTTTCTCAATGAGTCCACTTTAACCCGAATGTACGGTTTAACCCAAATAATGTACACTGTATGCAAATAGCAATACCTCGATCAATGGGTGCCAGTGTGCGACAGGCTTGCGTGGATATGTCAACATCTCACTCCAGTGGTCTCGTCCCAGAGTGTCGGCCTCATTACCCACCCTGCACACCCCGATGATTTCGTTATGTCCAACCCTACACATAGCACAAGAGCAAAGTGTTCAACCTCATAATTGCGCAGCAAAACAGCATCATTAGTAACAAACCGATCGTAGTCCATGACAGCTATCAGGAGACTTATTTGATCGATGTTTTCTGGGGGTACATCAAAGACGATGGCTTCATTGTATATTGGGTTTAGAGTGTTGCGTTTGGTGGATGTCTTCCTCTTCTTTAGTCTCCGGCCCTCACACATCAGTGACACCTTTACATATGGATCTATGGAGGAAACATGTTCAATCAGGATATTACAAGGAAGAACAGCCCAGCAGCAAACGTGTTCTACTTAATGACAAACTAATCACGGAAACTTACTTGTGGAATCTTTCATACCTGACTAAATGTAGTAAATATTGCGAGACGAATAAAGGTTTTCTTATCTTATCTTATCTTAAATGTAGTATGAAAACCCACCTGAAGCACCGGTGATGTCCATGGCTTTGAGATTTCTGGCTTTGATCATGGTAATGGTGAGCCTGCCAGCCGTTGGGAGATAGCACAATGAGAACATCAACTCTCCCAGGTCCACATTGTCCTAAAAACAAATATACACAGTATTTTATTTGAACGGATCTTTAATCTGAGAAGCAATCTGTCTTTTTCCCTTGTAATCACGTTCACCAAAATCCCTGAATTTACGAGGTAAAACTTCCAGTAACTTAATAGTGTGTCGGTCAAATGTAGTTTGCAAATTGGTTCCACTTAAAATTGTGCAACCATGACAAAAGAGCCATCAAAATTTTGTTGATACACCGCTTGTCCTCATTATGACTTACATTCTGAAAATCAACATGCACATGCATTTTTGGGAATGTGGGAGGAAGTCAGCATAAGCCGTTACTGGACTATTTTTTACAAAGCAGTTCTTTATTATGGCTATTTCAGGACACCTCATACAACATGGAAGAAAACAATAAAATGAGAAGTCTAATTGAAGAGATGATTTAACTGTTCAAAAATATCTGTCGTGCTCAGCCTGTTTCTTTTTTCTTTGCTGAATTTAATGGCAATAGACACATTACACTGCTGCCATCTTGTCACACAATTTATGGAACAAATGCAGCTATGTGGTCTTCTGAACTGCAGGGGCGTCGCGGCCATTTGGGATGTTATTAACAGCCACACTTTTCCAGGTGAAAGTATTCAACACCCACACTTTTCAGTTACTGCACAAACATAAACAATATATACACTACAGAGAGATAGCTCGATAGATAAACGTACCCCCCGTCAGCCGTTGCCTTACTGTAGTGGAGGCGTTTGTGTGTCTGTTGTGTGGGGCTTTATGCCCCCGGGAGGCTCAACCATGGCAAACAGGTCCTAGTGAGGGACCAGACCAAGGACAGCTCAGAGACCCCTCATGATGAATAAGAAAATTTGATCCAGTTAACCATTGCCCGGACGCCGGTTACCAGGGCTTCCCTCTGGAGCCTGGCCTGGAGGTCGGGCTCGAAGGCGAGCGTCTGGTGGCTGGGCCCGCACCCATGGGGACTGACCAGGCTCAGCCCGAACGGAAAACGTGAGTCCCCCTTTCCCATGGGCTGACCACCTCTGGGAGGAGCCTAAGGGGTCAAGTGCCCTGTGAGCTGGGTGGTGGCCAAAGGCGGGGGGACCTTGGCGGTCTGATCCCCAGCCACAGAAGCTGGCTTTTGGGACTTGGAATGTTACCTCTCTGACAGGGAAAGAACCTGAACCATTGTGCGAGGCGGAGAAGCTCCAATTAGCCTCGCCTCTATACACAGCTTGGGCTCTGGTACCAGCCCTCTGGAGAGGGGTTGGACCCTTTTCCTCTCAGGAGCTAGGGGGACGGGTCGTGACTGCTGTTTGTGCTTATGCACCAAACACCATTTCAGAGTACCCACCCTTTTTGGAGTCCTTGGAAGGAGTGCTGGAGAGTGCCTCTACTGAGAACTCTATCATTGTGGCGGGTGACTTTGATGCTTATGTGGGTAATGACAGTGAGACCTGGACGGGCATAACTGGGTGAAACGCCCACCCCCTCCCCCCCATTGTAACCAGAGTGGTGTTATGTTACTGGATATAAAGATGTCCATATGTGCACAAGGACACCCGAGGCCTAGGTCGATGATCGGCTTTGTGGTTGTTTCACCGTATTTGCAGCCGCAGGTTTTGGACACTCGGGTGAACAGAGGGGCAGAATTGTCAACTGATCCCCACCTGGTGGTGTGTTGGCTCCGACGGTGGGAGAAGAAGCCAGTCTGACCTGACAGAGCTAAACATATTGTGAGGGTTTGCTGGGAACGTCTGGCAGAATCCCGTCAGAAAGAATTTCAACTCCCACTTCCGGCAGAACTTTGCCCACGACCTGGTGGAGCTAGAGGATATTGAGTCCGAGTGGACCATGTTCCGTACGTTCATTGTTGTGGCGGCCAACCAGAGTTGTGGCCTTAAGGTGGTCGGTGCTTGTCATTGCGGCAACCCCCGAATCTGTTGGTAGACATAAGCGGTGAGGGATGCATAAAGCCTTTTTGGCGTTGGGACTCCGGAGGCAGCTGATGATGACCGGCTGGCCAAGCAGAATGCAGTCTTGGTGGTCATAGAGGCAAAAACTTGTTGGGAGGAGTTCGACAAGACCATGGAGAATAATTTCTAGATGACTTTTTTGGTCCCTCATTTGGCATCTCAGGAGGGGGAAGCAGTGCACTGTCAACACTGTATAAAGTGGGGATGGGATGCTGCCTATCTCAACACGAGACGTTGCGAATCCGTGGAGAGAATACTTCTCAGTTCCACTGAAGCAGAGTCTGGGGTTGCAACATCACCTGAACATCGGGGACAGTACCTCTGGATTGACAGACCAGAATGGTGGTCCCCCTTGGGGACCGGAGGATGTGTCTCAAATGTTGGAGGATCTCACACACACACACACACACACATGCTTATATATATATAGTATTTTTTTTCTACTGTACGGTACAGAGAATGGATGGATGTGTCAGTTCCAGTGACAGTGATTCTTTTTCAAATAATTAACTAAAAGGTCCAGCTTAAGGTCAAATGCAATGCTGCGTAATTCTGGAAAAATATAAGTCGTTAAAAAATGTTACCTTCTCATTTTGAAAAATTGGAAAACTGCAGATACACACACACACACACACACACACACACACACACACACACACACACACACACACACAATAGTGAGTCAAGGAATATAAGAAGTTGCTGAAGTAGAGAGAATTAACGGTAGCATACTGTTGTTTTCTTGTGTTACTGTAACTGAGTAGATGGTCCAGCTATCCAATGAAGTTATGAAAAATGGTCAGTTTTGCTCCATATTGTGTTGGAGTTGCCACTTAGTTTCTGTCAGTCTTTACTCCAAACGTCTTTTCCTGCTGACATTCCTTTACTTGCCGCTGAGCCATAAGAAATGAGCCACCTCATCGGATTTGTTGTAACGCATTTTGCTTTTGTGAAGAAGAAACAAAATTATAGGGAAACACTTTAAGTCAAATTCTGCTTTGTCTTGACCATTGATGAGAGAGTGCATGCTCAATGTTTATGAACAAATGATCCACATTTGATACAGGGCCCATTACATAGTGTGAAGAACATGACGTCTCCTAACATATATCACTTATCAGTGATCATTTATCCAATACATTGTTTCAAAGTAGAAGAACACAACGTTTGAATGTGTGCAGAGGCATATTTAAACAGGCGAGCAAAAATTGACCAGCCTTCCATCTAGCACTCCCCAGATAATGTCATATCCTCCTACACAACCACCCATTGAGCTTGCTTTCAGACTACAGAGTGCTGGCCACTACTCTTGAGCACTCAAATCAAGGCCTGCGGTCAATATTATGGTCACATGTGCTCAGCCAATGAAATTAGATTCAAGGCCTGAAGCGCAGCAATAAAGAAGCGTCAGAGAGGACAGTTCATCTTTTCCAGTTATAATGCTAACACCTTCTTTCTGTCAGGAAAAGTAAGGTTCTTTCTTCAGCTCTCTCATATATGGCAGACTTTGCTTCAAATACTTTTTTGGGGAACCAAAATGATTTTATCCGTCACACTTTTTGGTATCATGAGGTCATTTTCCACTGCGATGAACCTCTGAAGCCCATGAATGTGTGCTTATTGAAGTTAATTTAAACTTGAGATAGGTAACCATTTTTATGTTCTCCATCATTGTATTTTGCTTGAATGTTTTATAACTACTATTTGTCACAAAACAAAGAATATGACCCGCTCCAAAGCAGGAAATGTTCGTAAAACTGTACGTATCCTTTGTGCACATACACATCAATGGTGTTTCAAATGAGGGTTCGAGAGAGTATGGAAAAGTGAACATCAAATCGTAATTTTGACACAGTTAAACAAATCTTGTTGTAATATTTTTTTTAACTGCTAAATATACAAATCATTTCATAAATCATTTGCCAGATATTTTGTGGTGTGTGTGTGTGCATCTATAGACATGTGGGCAGCAAGGTGCTCAATTGGTTATCACGTCTGCCTCACAGTGCCAAGGTCAGGGGTTTGATTCTGGCCCGTGGTTTGCATGTTCTCCCCGCGCCTGCGTGGGGTTTCTCCAGGTGCTCCGGTTTTCTTCAACATTTCAAAAACATGCATGGGAGTCTTATTGAGTGCTCCAAATTGTCCCAAGGTGCAACTGTGAGTGCAAATGGTTGAACTTTTCTATGTGCACCCTGTGATTGGCTGCCAAATAGTTCAGGGTGTGCCTCACCTGCTGCCCAAAGTCAGATGGGATACGCACCAGCAAGGCCGCAACCCTAGTGCGGATGAAGCGGTTCAGATTGTGTGTGTGTGTGTGTGTGTGTGTGTGTGTGTGTGTGTGTGTGTGTGTGTGTGTATATATATATATATATATGCATAATTATTATTAATTAGGGATTATTATCAGTACAATTGCATTAATGGCTGTACTGTTTACTAAGTGTTATCCATCCATCCATTTTCTGATCCGCTTATCCTCACCAGGGTCGCGGGGGGTGCAGGAGCCTATCCCAGCTGTCTCGGGGCAGTAGGCGGGGGACACCCTGAACTGGATGCCAGCCAATCGCAGGGCACACACAGACGAACAACCATCTCCGCTCACACTCACACCTAGGGACATTTTAGAGTGTTCAATTAGCCTGCCATGCATGTTTTAGGAATGTGGGAGGAAACCAGAGTCCCCGGAAAAAACCCACGCAGGCCCGGCGAGAACATGCAAACTCCACACAGGGATGCCGGAGCTGGAATTGAACCCGGTACCTCTGTACTGTGAGGTCGGCGCGTTAACCACTGGACCACCGGGCCGCCCTGATTTGTTTATTTAAAGTTTTTATAGTAATAAAAATGGATAAAAATGCAACATTTTAGTGTGTAGGTTTAGGGTCGTTCAGTTGATGTATTGGAAGATAAAGAAAAGTAACGAAACGTCACGAATACAGTAATCCCTCGTTTCTCACGGTTAATGGGGACCAAAACCACCCGCGATAAACGAAAATCCACTCCATATAGGTACATGTACATAATATTTATAAGGCCAAATTTAATGGTATA